TCTTTGGATGTTGGGGCTGCTGGTGGACCATGAGCGCATATCAAGTGACAGCTAGGGCACCTGCCAGAATTAGGGGTGCTGTAAGCTAGGTTCCATCCAATTGGCGACAGATTTTCATGCGAATATTCAAAAATCTGCATAAAAACAATATGCGCATTAATTTTCTCATCAGAGTTGTGTTTCCGTCAAACAGACTGTGCATAAATAAATATGTGCACATCAAAATAACTTTTTTTGTGGTTAAATTCCCCATGGACCGACAAAAAAAATACAAGTTAAATGGGTTTCCATGGCATTTTCAACTCTAGGCATACTGATGGTTTGGTCACTAAAGATGTTGAGTAGGGATGTGCCCACTCTGGTATCGTCATGTGCGCTCAGGCCAACAGATTACAGATACAACGCAGGTATAGTATAGCCTACTACATGATCAGGTTATTATGGACTATTTCTATTTGTCAAATGGAATCCAAGCGTCGATCATCATGTCACCAGAATAAGACCCTTGATAGTTATTGAAAAGGAGCATCAAGGATATCACCGTGCACTTTCACCACCCTGTGAAGTTCATCGTAATTTATTTAATCTGTTAGCATAATAAACTGCATGGTTTTCCATGATGTGGTGAATTTTTTTTATCTGACATGACGGCTTCTTTACTCGCATAGAAAGGTTGGATGTAAACCTGGTTCAAGTCAAGCCGTTTTGAAGATGCTGGAATTATATTTTGGATGAACGTGCGCAGGCCTATAGGAGACTTTTGAAGTAGCCAAATCAGATTAAAATATTGTGACTGGTTGTGTTTCTGCCACATATAAAAGGTAATACATTAAAAAAGTTAAATTATAAATATTTTGGCTATATTGGTGATGCAATGCTGTACTGTTTGTTGCTACTTGGCTACCTGCCAAACATTTTGCTTTTTACTCTTAATAACTATTTAATCAAACTCGGTAATCAAACTCTGTATCTAACACGTTTACCAAGGTCTTAGTTTTGTCCTCACACAACTTTTTTTTATTCAACATTTTCACCCTGGATGCTTTATCTGGACATAGATCTGCAGGACCTCCTTCGGCCCAAAACAAAAGCTAAGTAACATTATGCCTTCTCATTGCAGTCACTGTACTCTTAATATACAGGGTAACTATCGCCTTATGGTGAGGAATAGCCGAGTTGCAAGCACAGCTTCAGATGCAATCGTTAGGCAATGGCAATTTAAGTGGAGGAAAGGATGAAACTTTCCTTAAAATGAATCATCCAGCGATCATACACTGTTTACCAGGGGGCAGGGCTACCGGCGTAAATGCTCTCATCTTATCTATCAACATAGACAGGACGAACTCCTCTGGCTCCACAATGAGACAGGGTGCAGGCCAGGCAGCAGGCTGTTAGCCAGCCAGCCAACTTACTGGAGTCTGCCACTAGCTCAGTCAGCGTGGTCAGCTCAGCTTTCCCCATTGAGACCGTGTCTGTGCTTCAATCTAGGTCGGGCAAAACTAAACATGGCGGTGTTCGCTTTAGCAATCTCACCGGAATAAAGACCTCCTCCATTCCTGTCATTATTGAAGGAGATTGTTATAGTATCTCACATCTCAAAATAGGGCTACTTAATGTAAGATCCCTCACTTCCAAGGCAGTCATAGTCGATGAACTAATCACAGATCATAACCTTGATGTGATTGGCCTGACTGAAACATGGCTCAAGCCTGATGAATTTACTGTGTTAAAAGAGGCCTCTCCTCCTGGTTACACAAGTGACAATATCCCCCAGCGCATCCCGCAATGGAGGAGGTGTTGCTAACATTCACGACAGAACGTTTCCATTAAAAAACAAAAACAAAGTGTTTTAATCTCAACATTTTTAGAAAAAGCTGTTGCGCAGCAACTCTCTGCCTTCCTGAAGACAAATAATGTATACAAAACGCTTCAGTCTGGTTTTAGACCCCATCATAGTACTGAGACCGCACTCATGAACGTGGTAAATTACCTTTTAATGGCGTCAGACCGAGGCTCTGCATCTGTCCTCGTGCTCCTAGACCTTAGTGCCGCTTTTGACAACATCGATCACCACATTCTTTTGGAGAGATTAGAGACCCTAATTGGTCGACACGGACAAGTTCTTGCCTGGTTTAGATCTTATCTGTCGGGAAGATATCAGTTCATCTCTGTGGATGGTTTGACCTCTGACAAATCAATGGTAAGTTTCGGTGTTCCTCAAGGTTCTGTTCTAGGACCACTATCGTTTTCACTATATATTCTACCTCTTGGTGATGTCCATTCGGAAACACAATGTCAACTTTGTGTATAGCACTCCGTGACATCTGCTGATGTAAAAATAGCTTAATAAATACATTTGATTGATTGATTGATTGATTGATATTGAAGCGTTAGGTTCTAGGTGAGCGAGGAATAGCCGCTCTGATTGGAGAGGAGGAGGCAGAGCGTGTGTTAAGCTTTCCTGAATAACTGGGCCTGCCGGGAGCAGATGTAGCTACATTATTACAGGACGATTTTTGGAGAATGACGACCTGCAACAGACAGCGCATTCAGTATCAGAAGTAAAAATACAGCCAGACTGGCCTGCTGCTGTGACTTCCTAAACCGTATTAACTGTAGAGAGTAAACCCACTACTGATATAAAACCCACAAGATCAATAGGGGAGGAGCGTTTTGAGCTGCGTGTTTCATGTCTTCACTGTTCTTTCATGCGCAATGATGCACCTGGCCTCTCCACTGGCCTTTCAGCTGTTCCTATTGGTTCTAGTGGATTCATATTGAACATGTATGCAGCGTTTATGTGTGGTACGATTGCTAGTTAGCCTATTGCAGATCTGGACAAACGATCCACCCTAGCACTATTGTCACTATGAATGGTGGGTAGAGGGACAGATGGACCTCTAGACTGGTAGACTATACTGACCTGTGGTATAGTAAAAGTTAGCACACAGAAAAACGTAACGCATAAGGGAAGTACCAAAACACCTTGATATAGGGGAGGGGCATGCAGGCAGATGAGGAAATGTTGCTAGGATGGACTAAATTATATACTAAAACCTGCAACTAGCGATTGTAAACCGGGGAAAAAATGCACTACCCTCCCCTGTGCCCAATAAAAACACACTACCCTCCCCTGTGCCCAATAAAAACTCCCTACCCTCCCCTGTGCCCAATAAAAACACACTACCCTCCCCTGTGCCCAATAAAAACTCACTACCCTCCCCTGTGCCCAATAAAAACACACTACCCTCCCCTGTGCCCAATAAAAACACACTACCCTCCCCTGTGCCCAATAAAAACACACTACCCTCCCCTGTGCCCAATAAAAACATCACTACCCTCCCCTGAGCCCAATAAAAACTCACTACCCTCCCCTGAGCCCAATAAAAACACACTACCCTCCCCTGTGCCCAATAAAAACTCACTACCCTCCCCTGTGCCCAATAAAAACATCACTACCCTCCCCTGTGCCCAATAAAAACACACTACCCTCCCCTGTGCCCAATAAAAACTCACTACCCTCCCTGGCCCAATAAAAACCACTACCCTCCCCTGTGCCCAATAAAAACCCTACCCTCCCCTGTGCCCAATAAAAAATCCCTACCCTCCCTGGCCCAAATAAAACTCTCCTACCACTCCCCTGTGCCCAATAAAAACTCACTACCCTCCCCTGTCCCCATAAAAACTCACTACCTCCGGCCCATAAAACACACTACCCTCCCATGTGCCCAATAAAAACTCACTACCCTCCCCTGTGCCCAATAAAAACCCACACAACCCTTCCCAAAAAAGGATTTACCACCCACCCCTATTTCGGACCACCCCTCCCCCAGTAAAGTTCAAACTGTCCCTAAGATCGAACTCCTTAGAGAAACCCTCGGGACAGATTTATTGACATCTAACCATAAGTTATTGAATATGTGCCATAAAAGTGACATGCATACGAATTCCATGCTCAGTACAAAATAAAGTAACAAACATCTAATATTTAACAAATATGTGAGTGCGATCAACATGAGACAACCACAGTTGGAGGATTCATTGAAAAACATCTACAACATCAGAAACAAAGTTTACACAAATACGGTGCATGCATTCAGCTACACTGATACAGACAACCACCCACAGACAGGCTCGTTGCTGTATGATACAGACAACCACCCACAGACAGGCTCGTTGCTGTATGATACAGACAACCACCCACAGACAGGCTCGTTGCTGTATGATACAGACAACCACCCACAGACAGGCTCGTTGCTGTATGATACAGACAACCACCCACAGACAGGGTCGTTGCTGTATGATACAGACAACCACCCACAGACAGGCTCGTTGCTGTATGATACAGACAACCACCCACAGACAGGGTCGTTGCTGTATGATACAGACAACCACCCACAGGCAGGGTCGTTGCTGTATGATACAGACAACCACCCACAGGCAGGGTCGTTGCTGTATGATACAGACAACCACCCACAGGCAGGGTCGTTGCTGTATGATACAGACAACCACCCACAGACAGGCTCGTTGCTGTATGATACAGACAACCACCCACAGACAGGCTCGTTGCTGTATGATACAGACAACCACCCACAGGCAGGGTCGTTGTTTTATCATACTCATGTGATTCTTGGGGTCGGCAGGTAGCTTAGTGGGTAAGAGCGTTGTGCCAGTAACCGAAAGGTCGCTGGTTCTATTCCCCGAGCCGACTAGGTGAAAAATCTGTCGATGTGCCCTTAAGCAAGGCACTTAACCCTAATTGCTCCTGTAAGTCGCTCTGGATAAGAGCGTCTGCTAAATGACTAACAATGTAAGAGTTAAAAAACGTATTCAGGCATTGTGACTGAGATCTGATCATCTGTGCAGTCCAGCGTCAATAAAGACAACCTAGAACACACCCCCTTTACAAGTATTTTCCAATCAAGGGAGGCGATGGGGGGGAGGATGGGATTTTTAAAATGATTTAGATGGTAATTTACCATGGTCTGATCCTTCAGCATTCACAGTGGAGTGACAGCAGACAACCCCTGGCCACCGTGCCCCATGGTCATCTGGTTCCTCGCTCTCTCAAACAACCCTGTTACTGACGTCACATGACCCACTGCCGATCGCTGCCGTTTACACCTCCGAAGCTGCAGCCAAGCGAACCCAAAGGTATCCTGGAGCTCCTTTCTAAACTGACGTCCCACAAAGCAAGTAAACAGCGGGTTGACACAGGTGTTCAGGCTACATAGACAGATCTCCAGGCAGAACGCCAGGTCTGCGGACTGCCAGGACGCCGGCCTGCCCGGGTACATCGCATGCATCACGATGGTCGCGTTCCTGCTCAGGTGGTAGGACAAGTAGAACAGGGCGAAGACGATCAGCACGGCGGTCAACACGCGGGTCAGACGGAGATGTTGCCCCTTGCTGTTGTGTACCTGTGGCTGCCGGCTGCGGAGGCGGAGCTCCCTGACGCTGCGGAGACAGACCAATTAAAAAGCATGAGTTGTCACACATGTTGGAGAGGTGTTGTTTGACGGAATAGTAAAAACAAATGTACAAAAATAAATAAAAGATAGTCAATCACTCTGTACAGGCTCCCAATAATTTAATCAATCAGGATCAATCAATCAATCAACCAATCAATAAATGTACCTGCGGAGGCAACAGTAACAGATGGAGGCTAAAGGGAAGAGGAAGCCGATGCAGGTACAGCTGATGGAGTAGGGCAGGCTCTCCTCAGTATCGTCCAGATATATATACAGGGTACACACGGTACGGTTACTGTCTCCGGGGCAACGTTGTAGCAACGTCATGTGAGCTACGGGGATACTTATCACCATGGTAACCGTCCAGATAACCGCGCAGAGTAAATAGGTCTGCCGGCGGCTGAGTAACACCACAGAGCGCAGCGGATGGACGATGGCGAGATAGCGGTCCACGCTGATGCAGGAAACAAAGAAGATGCTGAGGTAGAAGTAGTTGTGGTAGAGCAGCCGCAGGATCTTGCAGAGCGACACACCTAAGATTAGACAAACAGTTCGTAACTACATATGAGGACGCCGAGGTACGGACCTAGGTCATCTTTTAGATTTTTTATTTATTTTTTTAATAAGGGAACTCAGTCGGGTCTCAACTTACATGCTGACCACACCGCACACCTCGCGTGTGCGAGCGTTTTGCGAAATAAATGTACACATACATGTTATTCAAATCAATGCACCCACACTGGTCGTGCGCGTGTGACGCTCAATGCCCTGCAAAGTCCCGCCTCTCCCATCTCCTCATTGGTTTTTAGGAGCATATACCCACGTGGGTGATTGAAAGATGAACTGAGGTCTACGCTCCAGTCCAGTCGGTGGTGGTAATGCACCATAAAGTTATTTGCCAACCGTCATACAAAGTCCAAATTAAGAAGAAAAAGACTGAATGAGGAGAGATTACTAGAAAACAAACTTTTACCCTTTTATCTGTGGATTAATTGTCGGAGTAGAGGACCTTGTGCATTTCAGGTAAAATAACAACCCAATGTTTATATCCCAGGATAAATTAGCTAGCAACAGCAAGCTAGCTAGCTAAATTGCCATGAATGTTTAATGCTTTTCAACCTGTCCCGAAATTAATATAATTGGTTCAGAGTTTTGTTTTGATATTTCAACCTGCGCGTCCTGATCGCGTCTGGTGTGGTTGGACAAAATCAACTTGCGCACGTGGACACACACGTGTGTGCAGTCTGGGTAGCATGTTAGGCTTAGATTCAATCAGATCAAGCGTTAACCAGACACCTGTATAGCAGATGTTTTGTCAGTGTTAGAGGTGGAACTGCTTTTGAGCTGTCAAATCGGTGAGCATCTGCTCTTTTGATCATCATTGTCAGGAAGCCACACCCGCCCCACTTGTGTTTAAAGTTCAGAGCGAGCATGTGTAGGCTATATAAAAATAAATACGCAATTAATTATTATTTTTTCCTTAAGAGTCTTTTGACGCCCTCGTCAATCTAAGTAACATAATATAAAAATACCCATCAAACTCTGTCAGCTAGAGATATCCACCGGTCCTCTGTAGCTCAATTGGTAGAGCACGGCGCTTGTAACGCCAAGGTAGTGGGTTCGATCCCCGGGACCACCCATACGTAAAAATTTATGTGCACATGACTGTAAGTCGCTTTGGATAAAAGCGTCTGCTAAATGGCATATTATTATTATTATATTATTCCTCATCTGCGGTGAAAGGTGGCCGAGCTACAGCGGTGTTTGTCAGACCATGAGACATCCCGAAAATCAGTCTTCCCATGACAACGTTTGTAGCGTCAGAACGGCACAAACTCATAAGACTTTCCTCTATGGAAAGATGAGACTCACGAACACAATGGTGTTCTCTGTTTTGCTTTACGACCCCCACTGTCCCTCGACTTCCGCCGAGGCTGCCTCCCCTCCTTGTTCGGGCAGGTTTCGGCGTTCGGCGTCACCGGCTTACTAGCCACTGCCGATCCAATTATCATCACTCCATTTGTCTTGTCTTGTCAATCACACACACCTGGTTCTTATCCCCTCATTAGTCATGGTATAAGTGTTCCCTCTGCTTCCTTGTCTGTGTGGGTGGTTGTTTATTGTGGAGGTTAGTGAAGCTCGGTGGAGCTCGTGTATTGTGTATCGACGGGAGTATTTTCAGTGCTCCTTGTATTTTCCAGTGCTCCTGTTTTGTGCCCTGGAGTGTGTTTGGTGTTTGACGCATTTCTGCGTAAACCTGTATTTTGCGGATTAAAGCATGTTATTCTGTGATTTACCCTCCTGCGCCTGACTCCTTCAACACCATCTCATCACACCCACAAGTGTCACGGGACTCGTCTGAAGGTAACCCATACAAACTAAAGGAAGTATGGAGGTAGTTTTGTGCCAACAAAAATAAGGGGTTAAATATGTGTCCAAAAAAACTAAAATATATCGTGAACTTTCTTGTATCTCCTAGATACAGGACAGACACTCCAACCTTATTCCTTATGATACATTTGTTGACTGTCTTTTTTTGCCATTTATGAACGTCTTATTCAATGCGTATCTATGGCTAAAGTAGTAAAGGCCAAATTAAATATTTTATCAAATCATTTTAAAACAGTTTTTTTTTTTATATAACCAAAGGGATCCTACAAATTCCTAAATGATCCATGGTATGACCATGTTAAAACAATTCCATATGTTAGCTTCGAACCCCCACACATAAACAAACAAAATAAAGAGGATTTCTAGCATCATAATGGAGATGACATCTCACATTCCAGTGTTCTAGCATCATAATGGAGATGACATCTCACATTCCAGTGTTCTAGCATCATCATGGAGATGACATCTCACATTCCAGTGTTCTAGCATCATAATGGAGATGACATCTCACATTCCAGTGTTCTAGCATCATAATGGAGATGACATCTCACATTCCAGTGTTCCAACTTGGAAACAAGGTTGTGTGACTCCGTGCAGCCAACGGCAACGTCCGCTTTAGCTAGAATTTCAGGAGCCACTTGTGGATTTGACAGCTCTGGCGCAGTTCCACCTCCGACACCGCCGATGCGGATGTTGGTTAAAGCGGATCTGATTGAATACATTCCTCACTGTGTTGAGAGTTAGAATTAGTAGAATTCACAAAGGTGCAATTTCAAACTTGGTTGTACAGCAGCAGTTTTCCTCGTGATATTATGTCACTCACTGTGCCTTGCTTCATTAAGAAACGCTATACAGGACATGAAAACAACAGACAATATTGCCAATTGGATTTACTTAACTTACCTAGACCCCAGTGGAGACCTGAAGAGGACCACAATGGTTGTTAAACTTGTTTGTTAATCCTCAAAGCTTTTTAAATGCAGTACAAGTGTAGTATCCACACGTTAGACTAGTCCCAGGTCTGTTTGTGCTGTTTTGTGCCAACTCTACTGCTGCCATTGATAAGCCAAACATGTCCATGATAGCACAAACAAACTGGCAACACCTACAGTATGTGGTTGAACTGTGTTTAAAATTTTTTTTAAAAATCAAATCAAATCCTAACCGTTTAAGTGGTAGTGGATGAAGAAGGGTAGCGCCAGCAGCCAAAAGGTGTCAGCCATGGCCAGGTTGAAGAGCAGAACACTACTCCTGAAGAAGAAGAAGAAGAAGAAGAATACATTATGAATCTATACCAGAAAGATGTCTTCTACTGTGCATAACCCCTCCAACATATACACACACACACACCTTACAGCGCCCAGTGAACAGTTTAAGGGTAAAGAAGTGCCTCGCTCAAGGGCACAACAGCAGGGGATGCTGTATTGCTAGGATTTGTCGCTAACAACCCTCTAGTAGTCAAATCTCTCAGATCCCAACCGGGAATGTTCCGGTGGCAAGCACGACCCCTCTAACCTCTACCGCTACCTGGACCAGCGTTTCATAACCTCTACCGCTACCTGGACCAGCGTTTCATAACCTCTACCGCTACCTGGACCAGCGTTTCATAACCTCTACCGCTACCTGGACCAGCGTTTCATAACCTCTACCGCTACCTGGACCAGCGTTTCATAACCTCTACCGCTACCTGGACCAGCGTTTCAGGCGGTGGGAGAAGATCCAGAGGGAGAGCAGGTTGAGGGGGAGACCCAATATCAACACCACCAGGAAGAAGGCTGGCATCAGGTATAGCTGGACCACCCGGATGCCCTCCTGCCCCGGAGAGGACAGGTCACAGAAGGCCTGCTCTGGGGGCTGGAAGAAGACTTATATTAGGTCTGGATTCAGTCCAAGGTGCTTCATAGTGCAGCGTAGCATTTACTTTACGCTTAGGCAGGCTACTTACTTTATGTTTTACGCTTATGCAGGCTACTTACTTTACGCGTAGGCAGACTACTTACTTTACTTACTTTACATTTAGGCAGGCCACTTACTTTACTTACTTTACACTTAGGCAGGCCACTTTACATACTTTACGTTTAGGCATGCCACTTACTTTACGTTTAGGCAGGCTACTTACTTTACACTTAGATGGGCTACTTACTTTACTTACTTTACACGTAGGTAGGCTACTTACTTTACTTACTTTACACTTAGGCATGCTACTTACTTTGCACTTAGGCAGGCCACTTACTTTACACTTAGGCAGGCTACTTACTTTACACGTAGGCAGGCTACTTACTTTACTTACTTTGCACTTACATGTTACATTTTAGTCATTTAGCAGACGCTCTTATCCAGAGTGACTTACAGTTAGTGAGTGCATACATTTTTTATTTTTTCATACTGGCCCCCCGTGGGAATCGAACCCACAACCCTGGCGTTGCAAACGCCATGCTCTACCAATTGAGCTACATCCCTGGGCATGCTACTTATTTTACACTTAGGCAGGCTACTTACTGTACTTACTTTACACTTAGGCAGGCTACTTACTTACTTTACATGTAGACAGGCTACTTACTTTACCTACTTTACACTTAGGCATTCTACTTACTTTACACATAGGCAGGCTACTTACTTTACTTACTTTACACTTAGACAGGCTACTTACTTACTTTACAAGTAGACATTATACTTACTTTACTTACTTTACACTTAGGCAGGCTACTTACTTACTTTACAAGTAGACAGGCTACTTACTTTACTTACTTTACACATTATACTTACTTTACACATAGGCAGGCTACTTACTTTACTTACTTTACACTTAGACAGGCTACTTACTTACTTTACAAGTATACATTCTACTTACTTTACTTACTTTACACATATGCAGGATACTTACTTTACTTACTTTACACGTAGGTAGGCTACTTACTTTACTTACTTTACACCTAGGCATGCTACTTACTTTACTTACTTTACACTTAGGCAGTCTACTTACTTTACACGTGGGCAGGCTACTTACTTTACTTACTTTGCACTTAGGCATGCTACTTATTTTACAATTAGGCAGGCTACTTACTCTACTTACTTTACACTTAGGCAGGCTACTTACTTTACACTTGAGCCGACACAGCGTTTACCATGAATGCATATTGTCGCTGTATAGTGCCCAGCTCTCTAACACGCCTTGGATTGAATCCTCACTAAATACAATTGGATCACTTCTCATGTAAGTCGTTTTTTGATGTAGTTGTATGGACGAATACACATATAAGTTGTTGTAGCGCTGTTGGTGTGGTGAAGGAGCACAAATAACCTGATGGAGGCTGAAGGAGTAAGGGGATACTTTCTTCATCTAATGTACAGGACATATGCATCATAATGGTGCTCAGAGTACATCACAGCCATGGCTAAACAAGCATTCCCATTCAGTCAAAACACATCCACTGAACTCTTGTTTGAAGTCATTCAACCAGACTAATGTATTTTGGTCCTCTGTAGCTCAGCTCGGTAGAGCACGGCGCTTGTAACGCCAAGGTAGTGGGGTTCGATCCCCGGGACCACCACCCATACACAAAAATGTATGCACGCATGACTAAGTCGCTTTGGATAAAAGCGTCTGCTAAATGGCATATTATTATTATTATTATTATTATTATTATTATTATTTAATCCTACAGTGTGTCCATGAGACTAAACACTTCCTTGCATTATTATTTTTCATGCTAATAATTACGCCTTATCGACCCTCACTGTAGTAGGGACACATTCCAAAGGTAATGAAAAGCTTCAGTGCTGCTTTATAATAACCTCTACTTTGGATACTTTAAGGTATAAACAACTTACCTGAGGTTGATGGTTGCCCATGTCAAGGTGTGTTCGTTTGCCTCAGTTCTGACCTGGCTGGTTGTGTTCCATGGCAATGCTTGGCTGCCCCACCATACGTTCATTATATTGGTATTAAGCAGTAATTTGCAGTAGTGTGTGTGTGTGTGTGTGTGTGTGAACATGAACAAATATTGAATAAGTGTATCTGTACTGTACTCAGGCCATCTGCTTGTGTGAACAGAGACCGCAGAATCCATCTTGTAACCACAACACTTTCAATCTGGTGTTTGAGACAATCAGGGTATCTGCAGGTTTCAGCAAGTTACATTTAAGACAATTTATATGTACAGTATCTTGAACACATTCAAGCTCTAAAGCATTATAGACAACATTTTCCGAAAACACATTTTTAAATCATTTGAATCTAGTATTTTATTCTCTTAGCAAGGCATACAGTCCAACACAGTGAAAACCATTTTGCATACATGGTGTCACGATCGTTGAGAGACGGGTCAGACCAAGGTGCAGCGTGATATGCGTACATGTTTATTAAGACGAATAAACACTTGAGAAAATAACAAAACAATGAAAACGTGAAGTCCTATGGGCTTAAGTGCCTTGCTACACACAACAAGCCTAACAGGAAACACAAACAAGATCCCACAACTAAAAGATAGGCAACATGGCTGCCTAAGTATGAACCCCAATCAGAGACAACGATCGACAGCTGCCTCTAATTGGGAACCACACCCGGCCAACATAGAAATACAATGACATAGAATGTCCACATAGAAATTCCCACACATAGATATTCACACCCTGACTGAACCAACTAGCCAACTCTATGTCAGGGCGTGACACATGGGCAGTGTATCAAAATGCAATCATAGAAAAGGCCTAACAAATTAAAAACAAAACCAAGTTCATCCATATCCAACATACTGTAAGCATTGTAAACTGACAGTTATATTTTATTGCGGAAAATACAAAATAGAGTCATGCAATAAAAAAAACAATTACCAATAAAATATACAGGAAATATAATGTAAATAAAAAGTAAAGGGAGATTATGAGGAGGAATTATGAAAATAACAGAGATCTTTTTTGAGATCTTTTTGAAACAGAGTGAACATAGAGAGTGGAGATACTTGAAGTACAGGCATTCGTTTCATAGAGCCCACAGCATAGAAAGGCACATGTGAACGGTCAAACATAGGCTACTGGTGTTTACATGTCACTTGATATTGTAAACACATTTGCGTTTATTTTCTACCAAACATACTATAGAAGATTGTTCACGCCTGAGACGGAGGCATAGCCAGCTATCTTAAAGAGAAACGTCAAATGAAATGACTTCATATGCTGTACATTTGATACATCCTTAATTCAGAAAAAAAAAAAACTAAACTAAAAGATGAACATATATAGATTTCACCATTTAATTTACATGCTTCACCATGTCCTTTCTCCTTCTTTGGAAACTCTAGAGTGCAAACATATATAATAAACATGAAATTAAAAGTGGGATCTATTTTATGTCCATTTCATATATTCCATTTAAAATATATCTCTTAAACATCTACAGTACAACCGTTGTTTCTTGTCGATTTATATATTGATGAGATAAATAGTAATAATTTAAATAAAATAATTTCACATGGTCCCGTTAGCCTGTTTGTGTTGTCTTGCCAACTCCATTGCTGTCATTTTCACGGAGTTGTCAAGACAACACTAACAGATCTAGGACTCAGGCTAGACTCAGGCTAGGTCCCTGCCTCCAACCACTGATGATAATAATAAGAAAATAATCCCTGCTACAGCATTTAGACACGGGGCGGCAGGTAGCTCAGTGGTTAAGAGCGTTGTGCCAGTAACCGAAAGGTCGCTGGTTCAAATCCCCGAGCCGACTAGGTGAAAAATCTGTCGATGTGCCCTTGAGCAAGGCACTTAACCCTAATTGCTCCTGTAAGTCGCTCTGGATAAGAGCGTCTGCTAAATGACTAAAAAGTAAAATGTAGACTGACATGTTTATGTCTGGGTAGCTCTGGTTCATCATATTCTGATATGCTGTCTTGCCAACTCCATTTGTGTCAGCGGCAGAAACAGATCTGTGATAGTGTCATTTATAAGTGCTTTGTGCAAAAACAATAAAATAATGTTTATCTTTCCTTCTTATCACGGACATAGAATAAAAAAAACAGTCATGATGAAAGGCTAAATGATAACTGATGTGTTTTCAGTGGAAGGAGGGAGGGATGGGGGGAGTCAAGACAAGCTTTCATAAACTCTGGAACAGGTGATTCAGGGAGGGATGGAGGGATGGAGACAGGGAGGGATGGAGAGATGGAGGGAGATAACAAGCCCAAGTAGCTGAGGACAAGCTAAACATTCACTAGCTCTTAACGAGTGGGTAAACAGAGGCACATTAAAAAGATTGATCTCCTTTTCTTTTCTCTTCTCTCTCTTCCTCTCTCTCTTCTCTTCCTCTCTCTTCTCTCGCCCCCTCTCTCTTCTCTCTCCCCCTCCCTCTCTTCTCTCTTCCTATCTCTTCTCTCTTCCTATCTCTCTTCTCTTCCTCTCTTCTCTCTCCCCCTCTCTCTCTTCTCTCTCTTCTCCAGGAGCACACACAGTTAAGGATTTGGGCAGGAGAGGAGAATAATGTTTATCTTTCCTTCAGTCCACAAACAGGCACCAGCTGCTACTGCCCACTCTCCTCTCCTCTCCTCTCCTGTCCAAATCCTGACATCTGGAATGAGTGCATACAGTACAACAGGCCTTGACAGGACAAAGCAGTATAGAGGGCAGGCAGCCTCCTGTGATCTAAAGCAACACACAACAGTTTCCTAGAAAACATTGTTATATACTGTAAAAAAAAACAAAAAAAAAACACATCTGGCACTGAAATCTACTGTGCTACAACAAGCAGATTACAGTTTCCCACATCTGACCATTGGCTTAGTTTAGACAGTAGCTTAGTTGGCTATTTGGATAATATCTCTGTGGACAACACTGAGGTGTAAAAAGTGAGGGCAATTTAACAAAAGCAATAATCTATGACTTCAGTCGACAAACAATGCACCTCGTTGCTGGAACCAACTGCAAAAGACACTGTAATTGGACGCTCTGATGCCACTTGGGCAATTTTTTTAAATATTGATTGGGGAACTATTTTGCTGAGGAATGTCATCCGGGTTAGGGGAGGGTTTGGCCGGGCCGGGATGTCCTTGTCCCATCGCGCTCTAGCGACTCCTCCTGGCGGGCCGGGCGCAGTGCACGCTGACTTGTGTCGCCAGTTGTACGGTGTTTCCTCTGACACATTGGTGCGGCTGGCTTCCGGGTTAGACGAGCAGTGGGTCAAGATGCAGTGCGGCTTGGCTGGGTCATGTTTCGGAGGACGCATGGCTCTCGACCTTTGCCTCTCCCGAGTCAGTGCAGGAGTTGCAGTGATGGGACAAGACTGTAACTACCAATTGGATATCACGAAAAAGGGGTCAAAAAAAGTTTAGATTTGTCTATGAATTGTATGTGCAGGGCTCCATTGCGAAAGAGACCCTGGTCTAAATGGTGACTCCCTGTTTAAATATATATATATATATATATATATTTTTTAAAGCAGCTAAAAGAAGTTAAATGGATGAACATTTTTGGCATTCAAAACCTCTGACAAGATTGTTTTCATGCAACATTATCTGCTTGTTTTGTAGCAACTATACTAGAACAATTCTTTATGGACCCCATTAGGAGAAACCTGACCTCAATCCCTGATATAAGCTTTATTGCATTTTTGTTGAATATGAACATTTTCAAGAAAGATTTAACAATATAAGGACACAAAACATAAAAAAATAAAAAAAACGACTGAAAAAGGAAACCTGTACAAAAAAAGATTGCAGTTTTGAAACTGCAGTAGAAGTGCAGCAACTGCAGTCGACTGTGGTATTTTGGACGCAGTATTTGCAGCATACTGCAGTTATACTGCAGTTATACTGCAATATTTTATGATGATGATGATGGTGATGATACTGCACTCTAACCGCTATCTTTTTTTCGTAAAAGGAAATGTTGTGTGTATCCTCTTTTACTCATCTAACAATTAATTAGTAAAATATTAAGGCATTTCATCTTTTGGTTGCTTTATAATAGTAGCACGTACAACTTTATCAACATAGACAGGGCTGTGTGGTAGACGAGACGCTTGGTTGAAGCTGCCCGGCGTTAAACACATTGATTTTGTGATTGTGAAATGACCAGCAAAGTCTAACCACTTCTTCAGAGTGAGATCACTAAATGGAGAGACATTTTTAAAATATGAAATGGACATAGTGATTTTTTAAAATGGACATAGTGATTTTTAAATGGACATAGTGATTTTTAAATGGACATAGTGATTTAAAATCAAGGGTGTGTGATTACTGCAAGCAGCAGCCATGTTTCTCTGCTTCCCTGTGTTGTTAGTATAGATCTAGTGCTATAGTGTGGACGGGACTGACTGGTGGTTGATTGAAGAGGAGATCTGAAATCCCATAGACCGTACATGGACGGATCTGGCACTGAAGACATACTGAATGTAGTATCTTCTTGTATTTGATGATGATGATGATGATGATGATGATGATGGATTGTATTATGTAGCGCCTTTCTTCCAACTGAGGTACTCTATTTCTCTGAGGATTCCTCTCCACTCCACCAGCAGACGGAGCCCTTATACTACAGATTTCCTTAAGACCAGCCCAGGCCCCAGCCCAACCTGAACCAGGGTCCTGTTCATCAGGCACCAAAACGGAAACAAAACAGATTCAAACAGGGTGTACACACTACCTGGACTTGTCCAATGAAAAATGCTAATTTAAATTTCCTGTTGAAAAACATTTTAAAACATTTTCCGTGGTGTGACCTAATGAACACGAGCCAAAATCAAATGAGCGGGCAGAGGGCGAGGACGGGTGCTAGAGACACTGGGACAGCACTACGTGTCGGGATATGTCGGGGTAGATCACGGGGGTGCAGCAGCAGTCCTCGTTCCTCTGGCTTAGCTGGATCTTCAGCTTCTCCACCTGAAGGTCAAAGAAACAAAGATCCAGAAAAACACCGGATGAATATATCCGTTTTGAATGATGTGTTTGGAAAGTGTGTGTGTATTAATTGTATTGGCTTACATGGTTAAATAAAAGCAAAATAAATATGTTATTATGTGCATGTTGAATGTTTTATGTGGAAAGACACCTCATAGTTGTGGAGGTACTCCTGGATGAGGTAGCGTTCCCGTTTAATCCTGGCCTTCACCTCGGAGGGAACGTCAGGAATCATCCACGCCACGAAGAACTTCACCATAAACACCACATGCTGAGAGAGGAAAGAGGAGGAGATCAATCAATCAATCAATCAATCAACCAATCAGGAAGAGATGGAACAGGAACGTAAAGGTCAGTCTTTGGCTCACACTGGAAATACAGCGTGACCTCTGCAGCCAGAGTAACGTTTTGTAGGGTTACCATAGAAACAGAAACAGGAAGGGAATCGTTACCATAGAAACAGAAACAGGCAGATCTACAGGAAGGGAATCCAACTATTCCTATTTAGGGACTGACTACTAAGTAAAAAGAAAGATCTGGAAATATAGTAGATCTGTTTTCTATCCACACTGGACATATAGTAGCGCAACTGTAATTCACTGTAGATTAAAGTTATGTTTGGGGATAGATGCCAATGCTGAAGGATTTTAATTATTCTAATGAAGTGACTGACTAGTAAAAAAAAAAATGAGACAAATCTGGTTGAAATGACTGGTGGTTCTATAGAAATATAATCTATAGATCGGGCCTCCCCATTCAAGTGAGTTGTACCCATGACTTTACCAGCCAAATTGCCAGGGTGAGAGGTTCAAAGTCCTTTCTATAGGTTTTATTTCTATGGCTGGTTCCAGGAGTGAAGCTAGAGGTATCTGTCCTACCTCCATGATAATGCTGAAGGCCAGCTTGGCAGCCAGGATGTATCTGTCCTACCTCCATGATAATGCTGAAGGCCAGCTTGGCAGCCAGGATGTATCTGTCCTACCTCCATGATAATGCTGAAGGCCAGCTTGGCAGCCAGGATGTATCTGTCCTACCTCCATGATAATGCTGAAGGCCAGCTTGGCAGCCAGGATGTATCTGTCCTACCTCCATGATAATGCTGAAGGCCAGCTTGGCAGCCAGGATGTATCTGTCCTATCTCCATGATAATGCTGAAGGCCAGCTTGGCAGCCAGGATGTATCTGTCCTACCTCCATGATAATGCTGAAGGCCAGCTTGGCAGCCAGGATGTATCTGTCCTACCTCCATGATAATGCTGAAGGCCAGCTTGGCAGCCAGGATGTATCTGTCCTACCTCCATGATAATGCTGAAGGCCAGCTTGGCAGCCAGGATGTATCTGTCCTACCTCCATGATAATGCTGAAGGCCAGCTTGGCAGCCAGGATGTATCTGTCCTATCTCCATGATAATGCTGAAGGCCAGCTTGGCAGCCAGGATGTATCTGTCCTACCTCCATGATAATGATGAAGGACCAGCTTGGCAGCCAGGATGTATCTGTCCTACTTCCATGATAATGATGAAGTCCAGCTTGGCAGCCAGGATGTGTCTGTCCTACCTCCATGATAATGATGAAGGCCAGCTTGGCAGCCAGGATGTATCTGTCCTACCTCCATGATAATGCTGAAGGCCAGCTTGGCAGCCAGGATGTATCTGTCCTACCTCCATGATAATGCTGAAGGCCAGCTTGGCAGCCAGGATGTATCTGTCCTACCTCCATGATAATGATGAAGGACCAGCTTGGCAGCCAGGATGTATCTGTCCTACCTCCATGATAATGATGAAGGCCAGCTTGGCAGCCAGGATGTATCTGTCCTACCTCCATGATAATGATGAAGGACCAGCTTGGCAGCCAGGATGTGTCTGTCCTACCTCCATGATAATGCTGAAGGCCAGCTTGGCAGCCAGGATGTATCTGTCCTACCTCCATGATAATGCTGAAGGCCAGCTTGGCAGCCAGGATGTATTTGTCCTACCTCCATGATAATGCTGAAGGCCAGCTTGGCAGCCAGGATGTATCTGTCCTACCTCCATGATAATGCTGAAGGCCAGCTTGGCAGCCAGGATGTATCTGTCCTACCTCCATGATAATGCTGAAGGCCAGCTTGGCAGCCAGGATGTATCTGTCCTACCTCCATGATCATGATGAAGGCCAGCTTGGCAGCCAGGATATATCTGTCCTACCTCCATGATAATGACGAAGGCCAGCTTGGCAGCCAGGATGTGTCTGTCCTACCTCCATGATAATGATGAAAGCCAGCTTGGCAGCCAGGATGTGCCAGAACTGCATGGTGTGAGAGTACTGCTTCTCATGGCCCGACGGGTAGCGGTAGTCACGGTACCTATAGAACACAGGAAGAAGTAGAGGAGTAGGTATATACTAAAACACACACTGCTTCTCATGGGCCAGGGGGTAGCGGTAGTCATGTGACGGTAACTATACATGAAATACATACACATTAAATGTATTCTAAAACACACACGCACACAGACAGACACCCTACCTGCAGGTGGTGATGACAGAGCTGTTGAACCATTCAGGACTTTCTCCATCTTCAGGCCGGTTGTCGTCAGAGAACCCAGAAATGTTGAACACTGACAGGCTATTGCTGATGTAGCCCTTCATAGAGAGATCGTTGCTGTAGGCATACATGTACACCAGACGGGGAATCATGTCTGATGTGAAGGCTACGATGAATGCCTGGGGTGGGGGGGGGGGGTTTGAGAAAAGAGGGAAGTAATTTGTTTATAGATGGACATAACCACTGGTCCCAGATCTGTTGGTGCTGTATAACCAACTCCTATAGTTGTTGTGACCATAGGAGTTGTTAAGACAGCACCAACAGATCTGGGACCAAGCTAGCACTCCTAGAACAAGTGCAAAATTCCAGTAACTTTCCCAGAATTCCCAGGTTATCCAGAAATTCCGGTTGTACAATTCCAGGAATCAGGAGGGAATAAGAAGGAAATCCCTTAACACTCCTCTCCTCTCCTCTCCTCTCCTCTCCTCTCCTCTCCTCTCCTCTCCTCTCCTCTCCTCTCCTCTCCTCTCCTCTCCTCTCCTCTCCTCTCCTCTCCTCTCCTCTCCTCTCCTCTCCTCTCCTCTCCTCTCCTCTTCTTTCCTCATCTCTCCAACAGCCATACTCACGTTGGTGACGACCGACAGGACGGCCACTCCGTTGAGTATTTCCTGCCAGGCTCCGATGCTGTGGGCCTTAGATGCTACGGGCCGCCGGAACTGGGTGGTGAACTTCCAGGCATCCACTCTAACTTCTATGATGTTGTTCAACAGCGCCAGCAGGGGGGCCAGAGGGAAGGAGGCCACAAACAGAGTGATGAAACCAAACTGGATCACTGTGGAGAGGGGAGGAGAGGAGAGGAGAGGAGAGGAGAGGAGAGGAGAGGAGAGGAGAGGAGAGGAGAGGAGAGGAGAGGAGAGGAGAGGAGAGGAGAGGAGAGGAGAGGAGAGGGATTATGATGGTAAAATAGATGGAAACAGTGCCCTCTGCAGGAGAGCAGGAAGTAATGCAATGGGTATTTCTATGAATCTCTTGTGGACGGACTACGTAACATAAATGGTTTCGAGCATCTGACCAAATTATGCTCGATTTTTAGTTCTGGGTTAAATGAGATTACATTTCTATAGAGAGTTTTATTCTTTCTCAATTTGTCATCGCATCCTCTCTCCTCACCTCTTTCATTAAAACACATTGGGAGAGAAGATCTGTGGTTTCTCCCCTTCAGACCTCTTCGAATATATTTTTTCAGAAGGAGGCGAGGAGAGAGGATGAGAGGATCAAGGAAAATATGAATTGAGAACGCGCCTATATTGGTCTGTGTTGTCCCTGGCTGCAGTACTCACCCATCTCCAGGTACTCATAGAAGAGTCCCAGATGGCCAAAGTTCTGCAGGTCGTGGTCCTGCTCCCAGCGGCTGTAGCAGCTCTCTGGGTGGTTACGGGCTTTACGGCTCCCCCACCAGTTCATTACCCACCTGGAATTACAGTACCAACACAGTGGGTCAGAGGTTCTGCGCTTCACATTTGTGGCTAAAATGTATAGAAAGCTAAAGGTCCTACGGCAAAATTCCGAAATTGAAACCCTCACGCGTAACTCGAGTTTTAGCGCAAATCTTCAATTTGACGTCAATGCACGATTTACGCTAAAGTCAGAGTTAAGTCGTTTTCCTTCATTTAAGACGGAGCACACGTGGCCCCAAGAGAACACGTTTACTGACCTTAAGAGTATTGTGGCAAGGACAGAATGACTACTTACGGGACCAGGGCCTCCTGGACGTTACCCCACACCTGTTTCCCTGACATCACTATGACCAGCTGAGTGGTCAGCTCAATCAGACAGCCACCTGGGTCACACTGGCCAGAGGAAGAGAAGGTGAAGTCAAGCAAAGGTTTTCATCTTACTCACGGTGGGCAAAACTGTTTGCATGGTTGCTAACGTCATTTTTTGGCAATCAGAAAAATATGTATTTGATCTGGTTGTAACCAGGACACCTGACCAAATAACATCCAACATTGGAAGTCTTCCTTATGATGTCTTCTTTTAATCTCGTCGTGAAAAAAAAAAAAAAAAAAAAGTATTTTACTGGTTGTAACCAAGAGCAGTTTGTTGTAATCTGATTACAGGACATCACCCCCCGCTGGACTGTGATTTCATTTTGATGTCAGTAGGAAGTAGCTGGTCGGTATTATACCTCCTCGTTCCTCAGCTTGCTCCAGCCGAACATGTAGATGTAGTCTCCAGGATAGCCGACGAACTTCCCCTTGAAGAAGGCCACGTAGAAACAGGAAGAGTAGTAGTTCACAAACTGGAAAAGGAACATCTTCACTGTCAGCTTGTTCTCGTACTCCAGGTGGGTCTTGGGGATCTCTGAGGAAAGCAACATTCACAACAAGGAGAGTCTAGAATAAGGAATTGATTACTTAGCTATGTCTGTAGTAGATCCACATTGATTCACTCCAAGCGATGCTGCAAAGTCTTTTTACGCCGTAACTCATGATGTCATGGTCAGGTTGCAAACTGGTTGTAAAACGACATTTTGTTATTGTCTTTTTAGCAAACAGAAATGAGTCTTTATCTAGTTGTAATCTTATAATCTGACCAGAACAATACCCCATGTTATCTGTCCCTCTGTCTTACCCATGTCAGTGATCCAGATGGCCACTCTCTCATACATCAGATTGAGGATCATGATGATGACGAAGTTGATGCATGACGCGGTGACAGAGGTGGCGAGCTGAGGGGTGATGAGGGAGCCCACCACGTGGATGTTGTTGGTGGGGCTGTCCTTCATGATGCTAGCAAATGCCGCGTACACCGCCAGACGGTACGCTATCACCCCGATGATACACGCTATGATCAGGGAGATCTGAGCGAGAGGAGGGGATTGGAGGAGAGAGGGCATAGATGGGAACGGGAATCTGCCAGGGTTGTGGTCACTTTCGTTTCAATGCAGTCAATTCAGGAAGTCAACTGATATTTATTGACTGAATTGAATTGGAACTGACCCCAACCCTGACTGTATATTTAAAAATACGTCCTGAGAAAAGTACTTATGTCCACACACACAGACACTGACAAATCACCACCAACAACACACTTCAAAACACAAAAATATGGTGCACATTCAGCAGAAATCTAATCCGGACTATGACATTTGTTGATGATGCTGAGGAGGATAAATAGAGGTGATAATAGTGAAGATGAAGAGAGGAAGAGGAGAAGACAGGAGGAAGGAGAGAAGGAGAGGGAGGGAGAGGAGAAAGAGGGAGGAGGATGAAGAGGAGAGGGGAGGAAGGAGAGGGAGGGAAGACTGAGGATGGAGAGGAGAAAGAGGAGCGGAGGGAGGTGAAGAGGAGAGGGGAGGAAGGGAGAGGGGGGGAAGACTGAGGATGGAGAGGGCGGGGAGACTGAGGATGGAGGGTATACTTGAGGATGGAGAGGGAGGGGAGAGACTGAGGATTGAGAGGTGGGGAGACTGGAGAGGGAGATGGAGACTGAGGATGGAGAGGGAGGGGAGACTGAGGATCGAGAGGAGGGAGGGGATGGAGAGGGAGGAGACTGAGGATGGAGAGGGAGAGGAGACGAGTGGATGGAGAGGGAGGGGAGAGACTGAGGATGGAGAGGGAGGGGAGAGACTGAGGATGGAGAGGGAGGGGAGACTGAGGATAGAGAGGGAGGGGAGTCTGAGGATTGAGAGGTGGGGAGACTGAGGATGGAGAGGGAGAGGAGACTGAGGATGGAGAGGGAGGGGAGACTGAGGATGGAGAGGGTGGGGAGACTGAGGATTGAGAGGTGGGGAGACTGAGGATGGAGAGGGAGAGGAGAATGAGGATGGAGGAAGGAGGAGTTAAGATACAGAGTAAGTTAGACTATAATGAATACATGCTCACCCAGAATATGACGGTGGCTCCAGACAGGAATGTACGAGCACACTGGGACGTTATGGGTAAGTAAGGCTCCATCTCCTACAACACAGTCACCAAGCAAAGCAGGAACAACAAGTCAGTCAGCACGGTTACAGCTGTTAACCTCCAGACCATCAGGGGGCTGAGGCTGGGCAGCACATAGCAGCTTGTTGTCATCATCTCATACTACTGACCTGTGCCCAGACCAGTCCACTGACCACTGCAGCAGTTTCCTGGCGAATCCATGCTTTTATTAGCCTGGGCCCAGATCAGTTTGTGCTCATAGTCAACACCTATGGTTCTGGTCATTGTTGTTACCATGACTATAGCAGTTGGCTATACAGCAGAACAACTGATCTGGGACCAGACTATAAAACCACGAAGGTCGTGTTTCTGTTTTATCATTGTTAATTCATCACAGCAAGGTTCCATGATTCACCAGGTAAAATGCTGCAGTCTGCATCAGACATCTTCCATCCAGACATGAGCAATCAACACAAGCCAGGCCTGCCAAACAACTTCTGCCAATTCCTCCACATCACTTCAAACTGGCATTCCTCTGTCCTCTTCCCTCTGTGCCAGTCTTACCCACAGCACCACGGTGGCCCAACACAGGAGCACTTTGCCCACTAGTTCAGCTGCCGTCCTGTCAAGGACCCACTCCATCTCCTACAGTACGGTCACAGACAGGTGGAGTGAGGTGAGGAGGTGGAGGGTGAGGAGGTGGAGGTGGAGGAGGTGGAGGGTTGGGGGTGAGGAGGTGGGAGGGTGAGGAGGTGGAGGGTGAGGAGGGGAGGGTGAGGAGGTGGAGGGTGAGGAGGTGGAGGGGGAGGAGGTGGAGGGGTGGAGGTGGAGGGTGGGGTGGAGGGGATGGAGGTGGGAGGCGTTGAGGACGGTGGAGGATGTGAGGGGTGGGAGTGGGGGGTGAGGAGGTGGGGAGGGTGGAGTGGGAGGGTGGAGGGTGTGGAGGTGGAGGGTGAGGAGGTGGAGGGTGAGGACGGTGGAGGGTGGGGGTGGAGGTGGATGGAGGGACGGGTCGCGGAGGGTGTGAGCGGGTGGAGGGGGGAGGTTGGCGGCGGTGGAGTGGGGGTGCGGTGGAGTGGAGGGTGGGCGGTGGGGGGGGGGGGTGGGGGTGAGGGTGAGGGGTGAGGAGGTGGAGGTGGGGGGAGGGGGTGGGTGGGGGTGAGGGGTGGAGGGGGAGTGGAGGGTGAGGAGGTGAGGGTGGGGAGGTGGGGAGGTGAGGGGTGGAGAGGAGGGTGTGGGCGGTGGAGGGGTGGGGTGGTGCGGTGGGTGGTGGAGGGTGAGGAGGGGGGGGGGTGAGGGGGGGGGGTGAGGGGTGGGAGGGTGTGGTGTGAGGTTGCGAGGTGGGGGTGGGGCGGGGGTGGGGCGTAGTGGCTGGAGGTTGGGGGTGGGTGCGGGTGGAGGCGGTGGCGATGGGGGTGCGGCGGTGGGTGGGGGGTGTGGCGGTGGGGCGGTGGGAGGTGGAGGTGAGGGTGGGATGGAGGTGTGGGAGGTGGGATGGAGGCGTGGAGGGGGGGGTGGAGGGGGGAGTGTGGATGTGGGTGTCGGGTGATTGGGTGTGTGGGGAGGGTGAGGCTGTGGAGGCTGGTGTGGAGGTGGAGGGTGAGGATGTGCGTAGGAGTCGTGAGCGGTGGGAGGGTGGGGGTGCGGGGGTGCTGTGGAGTGCGTGTGAGGGTGGCGATGTTGTGAGGGGCTGACTGATTGAGGGTGAGCTGTGGGTAGGATGGTAGGGTGGGTGGCGACGGGGAAGGAGTGGAGGAGTTGGAGGGTTCAGGTGGGGGTGAGGTGGAAATGGAGGGTGTGGAGGTGTGAGGGTTGGGGGTGGGAGGTGGAAATTAAGGTAAGGTGTGAGTGGAGGGTAGTGAGCAGGTGAGGGATGTGAGGATGTGGAGGATGGTGGAGGTGAGGGTCGGGTGTGAATGGGAGGTATGGGCAGTAGACAGTTATCATAGAAGATTATAAAGTAGACCGCATATGCAGGGTCTGTAACCTGAGAGCGGGCTAAAAAACCGATAGGTGGAGAGATGAACGAATATTCGAACTTGTGTAGTGGATCAGGGCCAAGAACGACCCTCTTTTCATAGGGAAAGAATCGTAAAATAATCCAACATAAATCAACGGGTGGAACGTTATTAATGGACCTTTTTGGGGGATACATCAATCAAATATTACATTATTTTACATAGCACGTTGGCACAATGTACTTTAAACAATGAAAGGCTACAAACTAAAATTATAGCTGAAAGTTATTATCATTGGACACAGCCCTGGCACAACCTGAAAGAAACTGCAAAGCCAACTTCATTTCTAAGCAGTGTTTTATAAAACTAGAAGGCAACACAACACAAGCCCTATGTGATGCAGTGAGTCGTTGGCTGGTACACTTGTACTTGGCACAACCCTAACCCCTAACCTAACCCTAACCCTAACCTTAGCCGAGCCTAACCAGTGTATAATGCAGGAAGAGTGGAAACACACCGTAACGCGGTAAGTCGCGGGAGACTGGTCCGTACCCCCCGGTCCAACCATAACCCAAACCTGAAAACCCAAAAAAAAGAAAAAACGAAAGGAAACAGAAAAAGAACGGAAAAGAACCGAACAAAAACCGAACCGAACCCGACATAACCCAACGCGAACCAGAACCCGACCCGAACCGCAACGAACCCGGAAACAAACCCCGAACCCGACCAACAGAACCCGAACCCCGACCCGAACCAACCAGAACCCGAACCGGAACGAACCCGAACGCGAACAAAACGCCCGACCCGAACCGGAACCAACCCGAACAGCAACCAGAAACCCCAACCGGAACCAGAACCCGAACCCCGAACCCAAACCGCTGAACCCTAAACCCGAACCCAACCAGAACCCCATACCGTAACCAACCAGAACCCAACCCTGACCCAACCAGAACCCGCTGAACCGCGAAACCGAACCTAACCCTAACCGCTAACCAATAACCCCAACCCAACCAATGAACCCAACCCGAACCAGAACCCCGAACCGCGAACCATAGAACCCCGAAAACCACAACCGCAACCAACCCAACGCGAACCAGAACCCCGAACACGAACCAACCCGAACCCGAACCCGAACCCGAAACACAAACCCGAACCCCGAACCACCCAACCGAACCAGAACCCGAACCGCGAAACCAGAACCCCGAACAACCAGAACCCGACACCCGAACCCCGAACCGCGAACCAGAACCCCGAACCCAACGAACCCCGAACCGCGAACCAACCCGAACCCGAACCCGAACCGAACCGAACAAACCGAAACCCCGAACCTGCGAACACAGAACCCCGAACCCAAACCCAACCCCGAACCGCGAATCCCGAACCAAGAACCCGAACCCCGAACCCGAACCGCTGAACCAGAACCCCGAACCGAACCGCGAACCAGAACCCCAGAACCCCGAACCGAACCGCGAACAAAACCCGAACCGCTAACCGAAACCCCGAACCCGAACCGCAAACCCCAACCCCGAAACGCGAACCAAAAAAACCGAACCGAACCCGACCAACAGAACCCGAACCGAAACCCGAACCCGAACCGCGTAACCAAGCCAACCCGAACCCAGAACCCCGAAACGCGAACAAACCCCAACCGCAACCCGAAACCCCGAACCGCGAACCATAACCTCAAGACCCGAACCCAAAGAACCAGAACCGAAACCCGTAAAACCCTAACCTGCGAACCAAAACCCGAACCCGAACCCCAACCAGAACGCGAACCAAAACCCGAACCCCGAACCGCAAACCCGAACCCAACCGAACCCTAAAGCGAACCCGAACCCAACCAACCGAACCGAAAACCCCGAACCCGAACATCAACCCGAACGCAACCGCGAACCAACCAGAACCCGAACCGCAACACCGAACCAACCGAACCCCGAACCGAACCAGAAACCGAAACGCGAACACGAAGAAAGGAAACCACAAGAACAGCGAACCGCAACCCCGAACCAGAACCCGAACCCACCGCAACCAGAACCCGAAGCGAACCCCGAACCACAACCGGAACCCAACCCCAGAAACCAACCCCTGAACCGAAACCGAACCCAACACCGAACACAACCCCTAACCGCGAACCAACCACCGAACCCCAAGCGCAACACTCAACCTAACCGCACCGAACCCAACCCGAACCGAACCCGACCGCGAACCGCGAAACCAACCAGAACCAACCCGAACCCGAACCAGAACCCAAACCCCGAAACCCCGAACCCGAACCGAAACCCGAACCCCGAACCAACCCGAACCGCGAACGCCGAACCGAACGCGAACCCGAACCCGAAGACCGAACAACCGAACCCACCAACCGCGAACCCAACCCAGAAAAACCCCGAACCCCGAACCGCGAACCCGAACCGCGAACCCAACCCCAAACCCCGAACCGAACCCCGAACGCGAACCGAAACCCGAACCCGAACCAGAACCCGAACCCCGAACCGCGAAACCTAGAACCCCGAACCTGCGAACCCAACACGAAACGAAGAACCCGAACCCCGAAACCGACTAACCCGAACCCCGAACCGCCGAACCAAAAAACCCAACGAAACCAAAAACCCCGAAAGGCAACCCGAACTAACGCTAAACCCGAAACCAAGGAAACAACCAATCGAACCAAACCGAACCGAACCCCGAACCCACACAAACCCAACCCGAACTCAACCCAGAAACCCGAACAGAAACCCAGAACCCAACCCCGAAACCGAACGTGACCCCAACACACGAACCCGAACCCCGAACCACTAACCACCGAACGCGTAACCAACCCTAACGAGAAAACCAAACTAAAAAACCCTGAAACCCGAAAGCGAACAGAACCCAAACAAACACCAACCGAAACTAACAGAACCCAACCCTAACGAACCCCAGAACCCTCAGATACCTCAACCCGAAGAGCGAACCCGAAACCCAAACCGTAACCCCGAACCTGAAACAAACCTAACCTAGAAACCAGTGACCCTAACCTCGAACCCGACCCAAACCGAACCCAACACCTAACCCTACTCTAACCCCGAACCGCTACACCAACCCCCCTAACCCAAACCTAACACCTACCCTAACCCCAACCCTAACACCAACCCAACGCGAACCCAACCCTAACCCTACTCCAACCCCTAACCTGAACACCTAACCCTACAACCCTAAAACCCTAACCCTAACCCCTAACCCTAACCCTAACCCTAACCCTAACCAATAAACCCTAACCCCTAACCCCTAACCTCCCTAACCCCCTAACCCCTAACCCCTAACCCCTAACCCTCCTAACCCCTAACCCCTAACCCCTAACTCTAACTCTATACAGGTAAGAGATGGAAACACACCTGTGTGACGCGGTTGAGTCTGCGGGAGGTACACTTGGTCTCGTACTCCGGTCGCAGCTGAAGTTGCTGCTGCTCTTCCTCAAAGTCCACCAGGTCCCACTCATACTCCAGCCGGGCCTGGCGACGCTTCCAGAACTCCAGGAACAGAGTCACTATAGGAGGACAATGGAGAGTTGGGGAGAGAACTCTTCATAGTAAAGGTCCTTTGGCATGATATACTGTAAGTGCAGACTGTAGGAACAGAGTTAAGGAGTAGCCCTTTCCTGCAGTCAATGACCAAAAGCGCCCTCTTTGGCCTCGTGGGTGGAATGTTATTCATATTTTTCATAGTTTCCTAATTAGTAACGTGTTTTAGTTTTTTTTGGACAATTTCTGTGTTATATCGGGATGCAAACTCAAAATGTAATACATTTCAACTCTGTATCTGACATGGGTACAGGTGTCTTCTTTTTTGTAAGCCCATAACCATGTGTGTGAGATTTTTATACTTTTGTTCAAAGTAGATTTGTTTAAGACTACCAAGAATTGGCTCAGCTTATCCCATGGCCATTGGCTCAACTTCCCCAAGGCAAACATTTTGAATATATTATCCCACACAGCTACAAGGATGCACTTTCATGCTAGGTTTAGGTCCTCATATTGAAGCTTATAGAGACCCCAACTGATGTATAGAACAATATTAAAATGCATAATCAAACCTCTAACACAATAAATACATTTGACTTGGTGAAAATCTTTTTTTTTTTTTTTTGGGGACCTAAGTTGCTTACCCATTTTTTCCATGTGGTTTCTTCCTTCACCAGACTCCATGAAATGTTGACCCTTTTCCTATATATTTGGTCAAATTATAAATTTTGTGTACGGTTTCCTAGAAACAACGGGTGGCTCTACGAACCCTTTGGCTCATCGTACCCTACTGTCCCCTATAGCATTGTGTGGATATCATTCATCCCTTCAGTGTCAGCTATATTCCGTAGGAATTCACATTATGGAGTTTTCATAGAGATGACAAGAGACTCTGCTGTTATAAAGTATTTAAAAAATATAAAGTATAAAGTTATACCACAACAATACTCAAAGATAAGTTCTGTTTTCCAGTTGTAGAGACTGGCAGCTTCCTTTAGGTGGAGCTCAGGACAAAGCCTGCACACTTACAGGAATGCACCTTTTGACACTTAATATTCACTAAGACTGTCACTTAATATTCACTAAGACTGTCACTTAATATTCACTAAGACTGTCACTTAATATTCACTAAGACTGTCACTTAATATTCATTAAGACTGTCACTTAATATTCACTAAGACTGTCACTTAATATTCAAAAAGTGTCACTTAATATTCACCAAGACTGTCACTTAATATTCACCAAGACTGTCACTTAATATTCACCAAGACTGTCACTTAATATTCACCAAGACTGTCACTTAATATTCACTAAGACTGTCACTTAATATTCACTAAGACTGACACTTAATATTCACTAAGACTGACTTAATATTCACCAAGACTGTCACTTAATATTCACCAAGACTGTCACTTAATATTCACCAAGACTGTCACTTAATATTCACCAAGACTGTCACTTAATATTCACTAAGACTGTCACTTAATATTCACCAAGACTGTCACTTACCCCAAATCCCCATGAATATGGCAAAGAACACCGTCCCCACGTTGTCAAACATATGTGATTGCTGATAGAATAAAAGAAATGGAGCACGTTCATTGACTTGACCTGAAGTTCTGGTCAACAGAATTAACATATCACAACAGTGTCTGTCTGTAGAGTATCATAATCTTCACAGTGCGATTATAAAGCCTGGACTTCATACCCAGGACGAGTTACACGTTGAGCTGAGTTTCCAGTAGCCACATTTCTTATCACACAGTGGACACATGATGATGTTGCCTCCAATCTCCTCACTACAGATTTCTTTACTGAAACGAGATTTTGTCAAATTTAAAAAACATGATATTCTCATAACATACTGCAAACATTTCTCCAGGCAACATACATTGAGGGCCGGATTCCTGGACACAGAATCCCAGACACAGTAGATTCTCCATTCAGTATGCCTTTCATTCCAGCCAAAGTCTTAACTGTGTCCGATTTTTAGTCTGGGGTTGTAGGGGATAGTGGACAGTGCCTAGGATTTTTAGGCTGTGAGGTAGGGGGTAGGGGATTGTGCCTAGGATTTTTAGGCTGGTGGGTGTAGGGGATAGTGCCTATGATTTTTAGGCTGCGAGGTAGGGGGTAGGGGACAGTGCCTAGGGGTTGAATTGGGATTCAGGGCCCTCACCTCCAGACGTTGTCATCGAAGGTGAACAATCCATAGAGAAAACAGATCAGGCCTACTACCGCAGCGAAGAACAGCATCTCAGTGTAGAAACCCAGCCAGGCAAAGTAGATCCCAATCTTCTCCCCGTAATACTTCCTGTTATGAGAAATACAACACAACCAATCAAACATCTTCTCCTCATAATACTTCCTGTTATGGGAAATACAACACAACCAATCAAAAACAACAACAGCCTGTTTTAGGGTCTAGAAATAAAAAGAGGACAACGCGGAGACTTGATTCAAACAAATGCAGATAAATGACCTGTGCGCTGCGGTTCACTTTTAAAGGGGATTTCTGCTTGAGCCGACATCCGTGGAGTTAAAAGGGAATGTGAGCTCCACAACCATTGGGGACATTGCCTTTAAAAGTATATAATGTGTAAATATATATTTTATTTCCTGGTTCGGTGTTGTGTTGTGTTCTCACCGTATCAAGTTGAGAGGCTGCTCTTTGAAGAAACTGAAGAACCGGGCCCAGTGTGTGTAGAGGTTGAATCTCTCACTCTCACTGTTGGAATCCCTGGATGGCTTCCAGTATCGAGACTGTATATATACACACAGAGGGATACAGCCCATTCATAGTGTTATGGTTCCACTGTTCATCCTTACCCATAACATGCCTGTCTATGGTTGCAAAATTCAGATAACGTTTCCCAAAATTCGTAGGTTTTTCAGAAAATCCCAGTTGGAAGATTCCCAGAATCAGGAGGTAAATAAGAAGAGAATCCAGAATCCTCTAGCCAGGATTTTTGTAAAATGGGGGGAATTCTGGGAAAGTTACCCGGATTTTTGCAACCCTATGCCTGTCCCATTTCCAAAGGGGATGATAATGGGGTTAATTAAATGATAATAGATAATAGGGTTAATTAAATAAATGATAATAGATAATAGGGTTAATTTAATGATAATAGATAATAGGGTTAATTAAATAAATGATAATAGAAAATAGGGTTAATTAAATGATAATAGATAATAGGGTTAATTTAATTTTGCTAAAGATGAAAAAAAATATTGAACCTTTATTTATCTAGGCAAGTCAGTTAAGAACAACATCTTATTTACAATGACGGCCTACACCGGCCAAACCCGGACGCCGCTGGGCGCCGCCCTATGGGACTCCCAATCACGGCCGGATTGTGATACAGCCTGGAATCGAACCAGGGGGTCTGTAGTGACGCCTCAAGCACTGAGATACAGTGCATTAAATAGTTGGGTATTACTATTTGAAAGACACATAGAGTACATTGTGCACACAAAACATTCCTTCCCCTTTCCACCACTAGATTAATGACTTCACGGATACTCAATGGCTGTATGTGCATATGAAACGGCCCAACAAGAGCCCAGAGGGCAAAGCTGGTTGAAATGATATAACAACCAGTTTTCCCTACTAGGAGAGAAGGTAACTTTCAGAGTTGGGGGTCAATTCCATTTCAAATCCAGTCAATTCAGAATATGTAAAACAAAATTCCAATTCCAATTCCAAATTTGTATCATTGAAAAGCATTGAATAAAATCGGAATTGGAATTTCAGTGTACGTCCTGAATCGACTGACTGGAATTGAAACGGGATTGACCCCCCCAACCCTGGTCACCTGTTGGACAGTAGCTTCTTACATCATGTAGAGGGAAGGCAGACCCGTAGGTCCCGTTGTTGAGCAGGCGCTTGATGCCCTTCTTGTCCTCTCTGTCTGACTTGTAGTAGGGACAACGGGCCAGGATGTAGTATACCTGGGGGGGAGGTCAGGTCAGAGAGCAACACATACATAGAGATTGCCAATTCTACAAATAGAGGACTCTCTATTCTAGAAGTCGCTATACTGCCATGACTACATTCCAATCAAAATGGAATTTTGATTTATAAAGCCATTTTTTTACATCGACAGTTGTCACAAAGTGCTTCGCAGCAAGGAAGAAACCCTGAGAGGAACGAGACTCAGAAGAGAAGCCAATTCTTCTACATTGATTGTCTTATATGAAAGCCCTTTATGTTGGCCTACTTACTATCCTGTTGGCCTACTTACTATCCTGTTGGCCTACTTACTATCCTGTTGGCCTACTTACTATCCTGTTGGCCTACTTACTATCCTGTTGGCCTACTTACTATCCTGTTGGCCTACTTACTATCCTGTTGGCCTACTTACTATCCTGTTGGCCTACTTACTATCCTGTTGGACTACTTACTATCCTGTTGGCCTACTTACTATCCTGTTGCGGACGGAGGGAGGGAAGAAGGTGTCCTTGTCATCGATGAGGAAGAAGTCAATCTTTCCCTTGTTGAAGGGTGAGGTGAAGTAGTCTGGTTCAGGATTCATAATGTGGTCCGGTAGACGGAAGGGAGTGAACAGCCAGTCCATGGGAATGTCCTGGATGAAGAACACGTTAAGAAGAAGAATACTTTACTTTCCAAGATAGTCGGTTTGTGCTGTCATGGCAACTCCTTGTCACCACAAACATGTTCTGGATGACAATGACAGCACAAACAGATCTGAGACCAGGCTACAGTTTTTCCTACAGTCCAAAGACTTTTGTCATGGCCAGATTTTTCCTTTCAGTTACGGTATTCGAACCGGAAACCCTCCATTTGCTGGCCCACCTCGCTAACCGCTAGGCTACCTGGCTGCTGACTGTACCTGGTGGACGGGGATATCATTGGCCTTGAAGGGAACCTTGATCTTGAGGACATCGGCGTAGGTGGCCAGAACCTCCCATGGAGCGTGGATCTTCACAAAGTATGTCTTACGGTCATCTGACTCCTGATTGGAGGAGAGAGATGGAGAGATAGATAGATGTGGAGATGGATGGACAGACGGACAAACAGACAGACAGGCAGACAGACAGACAGACAGACAGGCAGGCAGGCGGACAAGCAGACAGGCAGACAGGCGGACAGACGGACAGGCAGGCAGGCAGGCAGGCAGGCAGGCAGGCAGGCAGGCAGGCAGGCAGGCAGACAGACAGACAGACAGACAGACAGACAGACAGACAGACAGACAGACAGACAGACAGACAGGCAGGCAGGCAGGCAGGCAGGCAGGCAGGCAGGCAGGCAGACAGACAGACGGACAGACGGACAGAGGGAAAGCAGAGACAGACAGACCAGGAAGAACAGGCAGACAGGCAGAAAAACATACAGACACAGCTTGTGAATTATTTAACCAATAGCCAAGTTTAACTACTTAAGTTCCCCTAAACCACCACAAACAAACAAACCATTTTCCTGTACTGTGCTGTAAAGTTGATAAATCAGGGTTTTTCTAGTGATCTAGCTCCCCTGGTGGTGAGAAAGAGTAATGGTATCCCCCCCATACAAAAATACTGCCAGGACAGTCTGTCCCCATCTACTAAATATGTTTATGCTGTGTTGCTAACTCCTCTTGTCCGATGCTGTTAGCAACACAGACATATCTGGGATCAGGCTATTTATTCACCAGAACTTGATTAGATGTAATCAGATGGGCAGGAATCTTACCGATTTATCCTCTGTCTCCAGTTCCAGCCCTGCTTTCTGTAGGTTAGCCTCATATTCCCTCCGCCTCTCCTGTAGAGACAAAATAATAGGAGGAGAAGAGAAGAGGAGAAGAGAAGAGAGGAGAGGAGAGGAGGAGAGAGGAGGAGGAGAGAGGAGAGGAGGAGAAGAGAAGAGGAGAAGAGAGGAGGAGAAGAGAGGAGGAGAAGAGAGGAGAGGAGAGGAGGAGAAGAGAAGAGGAGGAGAGAGGAGGAGAAGAGAAGAGGAGAAGAGAGGAGGAGAGAAGAGGAGAAGAGGAGAGAGGAGGAGAAGAGAGGAAAAGAGAGGAGGAGAAGAGAGGAGGAGAGAAGAGAAGAAGAGAAGAGAGGAATTGGTACAGGACATTCAATTTGCCTCTCATCACTTTATTTTGTAATAATATTTTTGACCAAGTTTTTATATTGTTTGTCATTTATTTGTTGGGGGGGTTTTACAGGTACAATATCAATTCCAAGTCACATATTCAGTTTATATAACATGTACCCGTGTCCTGCCACTCAAAATAAAAACTAAAGTAAGAAATACATACAGAGAAATTATCATACAGATCAAACAGGATTTTGTCATAGTAAAATTCAAAGAAAGGAAAACAGGTGCGCCTACTCCCCCAACTCCCCATCCCATTACCCCCAGCCCAACATGTCTCCCTATATTTGTCCAGGCCTCAATTGTTCTTTGACTAGCACCATATATTCTCGCTGTCGATAATTCTAATGTCTTAACTTCTATTAGTTATATGTTGTAATAGTAACTGTATCCACTAGTGAATTGGGAGATGGGGTGATTGCCATCTAAGAGCCAACATATTTTTTTTTTGCAGCAGCAGTGGTGGTGGCAGCATCATGCTGTGGGGATGTTTTTAAGTGGCAGGGACTGGGAGACTAGTCAGGATCGAGGGAAAGATGAATGGAGCAAAGTACAGAGAGATCCTTGATGAAAACCTGCTCCAGAGCACTCAGGACCTCAGACTGGGGCGAAGGTTCACCTTCCAACAGGACTACGACCGTAAGCACACAGCCAAGACAACGCAGGAGTGGCTTCGTGACAGGTCTATGAATGTCCTTGTGTGGCCCAGACAGAGACCAGACTTGAGCCCGATCGAACATCTTTGGAGAGACCTGAAAATAGCTGTGCAGCGACGCTCCCCATCCAACCTGACAGAGCTTAAGAGGATCTGCAGAGAAGAATGGGGAAACTCCCCAAATACAGGTGTGCCAAGCTTGTAGCGTCATACCCAAGAAGACTTCATGCTGTAATCACTGCCAAAGGTGCTTCAACAAAGTACTGAGTAAAGGGTCTGAATACTTATGTAAATGTGATATTTCATTATTATTATTTTTTATAAATGTACAAACATTTCTAAAAACCTGTTTTTGCTTTATCATTATGGGATATTGTGGGATATTGTGGGATATTGTGTGTGAAAAACAATTTAATCAATTTTAGAATAAGGCTGTAATGTAACAAAATGTGGAAAAAGTCAAGGGGTCTGAATACTTTCCAAATGCACTGTATATCACTGTGCACATATTGTGTACAGGAAGCTTCACCTCAAAATGGCTGCTTCTCCCACACAGCATGCAAATGGTACTCAAATATACTTAAATAACAAAGTTACCAAGGAAACTAAGGGTCAATTCAAGGCTAACTCAAAGCAGGAGGCAGATGATAAGGACATTCCATTCCATGGGGCTCAGTCACTGGCTAGGAATGAGGAATTATAATTTAGCTACTGTAGCTTAGCTCAAATGATTATTTTCGTCTTGTTTCAAGGTATTTGTGTCATGTAGCTTATTTCTGAAATAAGCTACATGCTTGCTATTATGAACAGCTTGGCAAGAGAAAACTAGCTGGTGCTGACAAGTGACGTGAGTCAAGTGAGGTGAATCAAGTGAAGTGAGTCAAGTGAATTGAATCAAGTGAGGTGAGTCAACTAAAGTGAATCAAGTGAAGTGAGTCAAGTGAGGTGAGTCAAGTGAAGTGAGACAAGTGAGTCATGTGAAATGAGTCAAGTGAGTCAGTGAGGTGATTCAAGTGAAGTGAAGTGAGTCAAGTGAAGTGAGTCAAGTAAAGTGAGTCAAGTAAAGTGAGTCAAGTAAAGTGTGTCAAGTGAAGTGAAGTGAGTCAAGTGAAGGGAGAGTGCTATGTATTACAGCATGCTGAATGATGTTCATACAGTGATTTACACTGTATTATTGTAGTATTAACAACTACAGAGTCATGTATACAGCCTGGTTAAACCAGAATGAACTCTGAACTAAATCACAATGGAGTGGAGCATCCAGTCAGGTTTACCCAGGCTGTGTCCTGTGCTCAGAAACCAGCATTGAGTTACACTGAGAATTACAATGAAACCCCTGTGATAACTATGCACTTGACAACTATATGAAGTAGAGGAATAGCAGTTAATAGTGAGCCCAGGTGTGTTTCTGAAGGTGAATCTTACCTGTTTCCTCTCTCCGTCTCGGTCGTCCACATAGGACAGGATGAAGTCAATCCTCTTCTTTCCATCCCGGAAGAACACAGAGTCTTTACGCTGTTGACGCTTGTCAACCTGGGAGGAGACAGACAACACACACACACTCAACACACAGTCAATTTACAGTCAACACACAGTCAACTCAGAGTCAACACACACTCAACACACAGTCAATTATACAGTCAATTTACAGTCAACACACGGTCAACATACAGTCAATTTACAGTCAACACACAGTCAACATACAGTCAACACACGGTCAACATACAGTCAACACACGGTCAACATACATTCAATTTATAGTCAACACACGGTCAACATACAGTCAATTTACAGTCAACACACGGTCAACATACAGTCAACACACGGTCAACATACAGTCAATGTACAGTCAACACACGGTCAACATACATTCAATTTATAGTCAACACACGGTCAACACACAGTCAATTTACAGTCAACACACAGTCAACATACAGTCAATTTACAGTCAACACACGGTCAACATACAGTCAATTTACAGTCAACACACAGTCAACATACAGTCAACACACGGTCAATATACAGTCAACACACGGTCAACATACATTCAATTTATAGTCAACACACGGTCAACATACAGTCAATTTACAGTCAACACACGGTCAACATACAGTCAATTTACAGTCAACACAACGGTCACATACAGTCCCAATTTACAAGTCAACACACGGTCAACATACAGTCAACACACGGGTCAAAACATACCGTCAACACCACGGTCAACATAAGTCAATTACAGGTCAATATAAGTCAGTCAACACACGGTCAAATACATCAATTTATAGTCAACACACGGTCAACACACAGTCAATGTACAGTCAACACACGGTCAACATACAGTCAATTTACAGTCAACACACAGTCAACATACAATCAATTTACAGTCAACACACGATCAACATACAGTCAATTTACAGTCAAAACACGGTCAACACACAGTCAATTTACAGTCAATACACGGTCAACATACAGTCAATTTACAGTCAACACACAAACACAGTCAGCTGACATTCCCAGATATAGGGCCCGTTTCCCAGACACAGAGTAACCCTAGTCCTGGACTAAAAAGTTATTTCAATGGAGACTCTGTCTGGGAAACCCGTCCATGAAGTACACCACCACGCAGACAGCATTCAGTTCACTCCAACTCCAAGGTTTGAGTATCTACACAGGCGTTTCAAGGCAAGAACCACAGCTGAACACACCATTGAATAAAGCCAGACTCTGAACCGAGCTATCCACAGCACAGCAACCCCACTGCGAATCAATCCATATACTGTCACTGTAACTAGATACAGATGAAGAATCACACGCAGCATCACAGCATTACCTCCCCTGCAGAGCCTGATGATGAGGTCATGCAAGGAGCAGGAGAAATACAATTCAACCATGGCTGAAATGTTCTATGTTCCATTTAGCATAGTTTCATTGAGTTTATCAGGAGGTCTGGATCTTGTTTTATCCACATTAGAACTGGCCATGGTCTGGTAATGATATTAATACACTGAGTCATGGTCTGGTAATGATGTTAATACACTGAGTCATGGTCTGGTAATGATGTTAATACACTGAGTCATGGTCTGGTAATGATGTTAATACACTGAGTCATGGTCTGGTAATGTTGTTAATACACTGAGTCATGGTCTGGTAATGATCTCAATACACTGAGTCATGGTCTGGTAATGATATTAATACACTGAGTCATGGTCTGGTAATGATATTAATACACTGAGTCATGGGTCTGGTCATTATTTATACACTGAGTCATGGTCTGGTAATGATGTTTAATACACTGAGTCATGGTATGGTCATGATGTTAATACACTGAGTCAATGGTCTGGTAATGATGTTAATACACTGAGCCATGGTCTGGTTAATGATATTAATACACTGAGTCATGGTCTGGTAATGATGTTAATACACTGAGTCATGGTCTGGTAATGATGTTAATACACTGAGTCATGGTCTGGTAATGATGTTAATACACTGAGTCATGGTCTGGTAATGATGTTAATACACTGAGTCATGGTCTGGTCATGATGTTAATACACTGAGTCATGGTCTGGTAATGATGTTAATACACTGAGTCATGGTCTGGTAATGATATTAATACACTGAGTCATGGTCTGGTAATGATGTTAATACACTGAGTCATGGTCTGGTAATGATGTTAATACACTGAGTCATGGTCTGGTAATGATGTTAATACACTGAGTCATGGTCTGGTCATGATGTTAATACACTGAGTCATGGTCTGGTAATGATGTTAATACACTGAGTCATGGTCTGGTAATGATGTTAATACACTGAGTCATGGTCTGGTCATTATCTTAATACACTGAGTCATGGTCTGGTAATGATGTTAATACACTGAGTCATGGTCTGGTAATGATTTAATACACTGAGTCATGGTCTGGTAATGATGTTAATACACTGAGTCATGGTCTGGTAATGATGTTAATACACTGAGTCATGGTCTGGTAATGATATTAATACACTGAGTCATGGTCTGGTCATGATCTTAATACACTGAGTCTGGGTCTTAAGTAATCTCGGTTAACCCAGAAATAAAATGGTACGGAATTTGTTTACGTAGTATGTCCACGAGAGGTTAGGTCCTGAGAGGTTGGGTCTTGATCTGGGTCTCAAGGACTTCGGTCTTGACTAGAGGTTGGGTCTTGGTCTGAGTCTCAAGGACTTCGGCATACAGAGCATTCCCACTGGGCACACCACGTAATTTCAATGTGGATAATTGGGTAATATTTGGTTGAGATTACAACCTATATTCACCCACTCAAAAAGACAGCCAAAAGTTAGTTGAATTTCCAATGTTTTATCACTATGCTTTCAACCATCTAAAAACACAACCAAATTCCAATGGAAAAACAACGTCTGATTGTTGGTTTAGTTGTCAGCCAAAAGTCTATCACTGCTAGGGTTGTGCCGAGTCGTCGGACAAAACGAGTATTGCAATGGATATGGGCAATTTCCTGGGTACGCTTAAGATCAGAGTATATTCTGTAATTATCTGTGATCGTTTTTTTTGTTACACATTTCTTGTTAACAAACTATAGTTTTGGCAAGTCGGTTAAGGACATCTACTTGGTGCATGTAAGTAATTTTTCCAACAATTGTTTACACTGTATCACAATTCCAGTGGGTCAGAAGTTTACATACACTAAGTTGACTGTGCTTTTAAACAGCTTTGAAAATTCCAGAAAATTATGTCATGGCTTTAGAAGCTTCTGATAGGCGAATTGACATATTTTGAGTCAATTGGAGGTGTACCTGTGGATGTAACTCAGTGCCTCTTTGCTTGACATCATGGGAAAATCAAAAGAAATCAGCCAAGACCTCAGAAAAATAATTGTAGACCTCCAATAATTGTAGTCTGGTTCATCCTTGTGAGCAATTTCCAAATGCCTGAAGGCACCACGTTCATCTGTACAAACAATAGTACACAAGTATAAACACCATGGGACCACACAGCCGTCATACCGCTCAGGAAGGAGATGCGTTCTGTCTCCTAGAGATGAACGTACTTTGGTGTGAAAAGTGCAAATCAATCCCAGAACAACAGCAAAGGACCTTGTGAAGATGCTGGAGGAAACAGGTACAAAAGTATCTATATCCACAGTAAAACGAGTCCTATATCAACATAACCTGAAAGGCCGCTGAGCAAGGAAGAAGCCACTGCTCCAAAACCGCCATAAAAAAGCCAGACTACGGTTTGCAACTGCACATGGGGACAAAGATCGTACTTTTTGGAGAAATGTCCTCTGGTCTGATGAAACAAAAATATAACTGTTTGGCCATAATGACCATCGTTATGTTTGGAGGAAAAAGGGGGGGACCTTGCAAGCCGAAGAACACCATCCCAACCGTGAAGCACGGAGGTGGCAGCATCATGCTGTGGGGGTGCTTTGCTGCAGGAGGGACGGGTGCACTTCACAAAATAGATGGCATCATGAGGAAGGAAAATTATGTGGATATATTGAAGCAACATCTCAAGACATCAGTCAGGAAGTGAAAGCTTGATCGCAAATGGGTCTTCCAAATGGACAATGACCCCAAGCATACTTCCAAAGTTGTGGCAAAATGGCTTAAGGACAACAAAGTCAAGGTATTGGAGTGGCCATCACAAAGCCCTGACCCCAATTCTATACAAAATGTGTGGGCAGAACTGAAAAAGTGTTCAATTCTCCAATAGGAGGTGCTGCCCAGCCTACAGTTTCTTTTTCTGATAGTGGATATAACGTTGCAGATCTGACGTTGTTATAAACATACAAATTCAACATATTTTATACAAGGTTTGTCTATGTTGACATTTGGTTACCCTGATGGCATAATACTGTGGATGAAATTTCACCCTCAAAACAACAGTTGATTACCTTTTGCAAATCCAATGTAGTTTCCACATAGATTCCACGTCACAATACGTTGACAAATTTATGTTCAAACAACATTGATTTAACCAGTTTGTGCCCAGCGGGTTGTGTTTGAAAGCCCATGACAACAGGACTCCCCTGTACATGTAATCTCATTCATGATCCTAGATCAGCAGGCCTACTCTGAGATGCTGGCCTATAAGTAATTCCGATGCTGTAAGGTATCCGGTGTCTTATGACTCTTGTGATTTACTGTGCTTCTCTGTCAGCGAATCAGCAATCAGCTTACTAAACAATGACTGCGATTAATCGAGAGTTTGGGACTATTGGATTCTATCTGCATTTTTATCAAATTTGAGTTATTGACATAGCCTTGTTCTGTTCCATGTTATCTACCTATATAGTACTCTAAACACCCCAATTCATGTTGTTAAGTTCAAAATAATACAAGATAAAAATAGCTGAAACCATTCAAACCAATGAGGGTTCGGATCTTTAAAGCCAATTATCTCCGAATATAGCCATATAGTCCCAATAAGCTATCGTTATGTCAGAACCAGGGAGGCCACAGGTATCCGGAGAGAGATCTACATTCAGATTCACCAAAACAAGACTGACTGCTGAACAGTAAAAGAGGACAACAACAACAAACAGAGA